ACAAGATGTAACTCATACTTGTACTATCTGCAAACAGCCTCCAAATAAATCACAGAACACACAAAACAGCTATGTTACTAGTTACAGAAGAGGTGACCAATCATTCTGGTTTGCCTGGGACGTTCCCAGTTTTAGCAGTGAAATGTTCTCTACATCCTGGGAAACCCCTCAGTCTCAGGCAAACTGGGATAATTGACGCCACCTAGATATTCCACCACCACCCCACCCCACCACCCCCAAAAAAATCCCAGTGTTCACAGTTCAGCTGGGGGAAAAAAACTGAGTATTATTTGGTAACACTCTGCTAGGGCTGCCAGATTAGTTATGACCCTGTCACAGATATCAATAAATCCAGCAATCTGCTGGAAACATAGATTCAAATCTTAAAAAAAAAAAAGGTGGCGGGCAGCCAGACCCAAACCTGCCAACCAATACCCACTATCAGTGAGTCACACGTGAAAAAGGTTGCTGCTCAAAGAAACTTAGCATAATAACCCATCTAGGTCTGGGTTCAGTGGCACACTCCTGTAATCCCAGCACTTTGGGAGGCTGAGGCAGGTGGATCACCTGAGGTAAGGAGTTCAAGACCAGCCTGGCCAACATGATGAAACCCCATCTCTACTAAAAAATACAAAAATTAGCCAGGCATGGTGGCAGGCACCTGTAATCTCAGCTACTTGGGAGGCTGAGGCAGGGAGAATCGCTTGAATCCAGTGACCTGAGATCATACCACTACACTCCAGCCTGGGCTACATAGCAAGAGTGTCTCAAAAAAAATTTTTTTAATAACCCATCTAGCCTCTAGTATACACATTTCTCTAGTTTCACAGAAAGAATTAGTTCTCAAAAAAAAAAAAGGCAATCCTACACGTTGTATACATGTATCAAAATACACAGGGTACTGTGTAAATATGTATAAGTATGTGTCAACTAAAAATAACAATAATACTATTAAAATCTTATTGCTGGGAGGAAGACATTTAAGAAGCCCTCAGAGTCGGAGGCTTAGCACCAAGTCAGCCTCATTCTGTCCAACTCTTACCTTCTAAATCATTCCTAATATCTAGACTTTTTTTTTATTCCTACTCATCTAATCTCTCTCCCTTGAAACTCACTTCCCAGATATCAAATTGCTTTGTCTTTTACTGAACACAGTAACAAAGTTACTCTACGAACAGGACACTCACTATAAATCTCCTGCCTATTTTCCTAGGGCCTAAAAATTACTGCCCCTGAAACTTGTTTTACTTTCTAATAATGTGGACTCCTATCCATTAGGTCACCTTTGCCATTTTGCCAACATGTGAAATGGCCATCTTCCACTCATGGCTGGATCTCCTTGATGCCGACCAAATACCATCATCTACTTATTGCCTGTCTCAATAGTCCCCTAATATTCAACCCAACTGTCCTCATTTTTTCATAAGACCATCAGAAACTTTTGAGTTACCTGAAGTGTTCCAACAGATCTAATTAGAAACTAAATTAATCCACCCTTCCTAGTATAGCCTACCCAAACTGAACTCTAGGACAAACACCTGGAATATAATTTCTAGTTGCTCTCAATTTCTAGAGAGAAAACTGAAGCAATTGGGGGCATAAATAATGACTTTAAACCTCTTCTTCCAAATAAAGGCTGTGACTTCCAAAGATAAATGAGGCTATAGGAAAATGAACATCTAACCAGAAAAAGAGTGTCAAGAACAGATTTAAAACTTTGTCAAGAATAGCTTTTTAAAACCATTGATTTAAAAAAAATGAACAGAATCCCTTTCACACAACCAAGAACATGTCTGAATCATGAAATTAAGAAATACTTGAAACCAATTTTGGAGACAGGAGGAAAAAAGCATACCTTTTAAACCCTTTTTATCATTAAAAATGTTAAACGTATGTACAGAAGAATATAATGAAGTCCCATGATCATTCAGCCCCAACAATTATTAATATGTTGCCACTGCTGGCTCATCAATTTTTTTCTTTGCTGAGGTTAAAATGTAGATTTTTAAAAATAGGATGCAGGGCTTAAAACCTAGATGATGAGTTGATAGGTGCAGTAAACCACCATGGCACATGTATACCTACGTAACAAACCTGCACATTCAGCACATGTATCCCAGAACTTAAAGTAAAATAAAATGAATAAATAACAAAATAAAAAATGAAAATAGGATACGAAGGCAGAAGATGGAAACAGTCATAGTAAAATAATTTTCAGGTGAAAATAACAAGAAACAGGAGGGGGCAATATTTATGAAGTTAGATGGTGATATACCAAGACAAATGTGGGTAATAAACAGCTAAAACAGGAAGTTTAGGGGTTTCTTTAAATTGCATTTTAATATGTAAGTGGGAAGCTATACCCCAAAATGTCAACAGAAAAGTCATTTAAAAATGTATGGGAGGCTAGGCGCAGTGGCTCACGCCTATAATCCCAGCACTTTGGGAGGCCCGAGGCGGGTGAATCACAAGGTCAAGAGATCGAGACCATCCTGGTCAACATGGTGAAACCGCGTCTCTACTAAAAATACAAAAATTAACTGGGCATGGTGGTGCACGCCTGTAGTCCCAGCTACTCGGGAGGCTGAGGCAGGAGAATTGCTTGAACCCAGAAGGCGGAGGTTGAGGTGAGCTGAGATCGTGCCATTGCACTCCAGTCTGGGTAACAACAGCGAAACTCCATCTCAAAAAAAAAAAAATGTATGGGAGACATTTCCATTAATTTATAAACAATTTTAGATAACAGTAAACTATGAACAGAATTCATTAAATGATAAATTTATTTCTAAGCAGTTTATATAAGCACTTGAGAACTTGAGTCAAAAACTTAGTTTATAATAATCTCAATGAGTATTTTCTCTAGAATATCTATTGTAAGCATATAACTACTTGAACTAAGTAATTTATAAACTAGTATACATCATTAGAATGAGAAATGTCAAGGTCAAATAAGTAAATGAATGGGAAACTACCATTAGAAGTCATTTCTCATTCGCTCTACAGCACTCTGCAACATACCCTGATAGTTCTGCCAAATATAGTGACTAAAATGACATAACCCAAGTTAAGTCTGGTAAAAGTGAACAACAGAACTCTGGGCTGAGGGATAGTGTGGATTGTTTATATTTTCAAGTATACATCTCAATTCTCTTCCTATTACAAATTTTTTAAATACTCTTTATGGGAGCACTGTAGCTTAAAGGAGAAAGTTGTAGATTCGAAACCTTAGTCCTTTTCCTTGCATTGCTACTAACTAGCAGTGTGACTTAAGGAAAGTTTTTTTTTTCTTTTTTTAACTTCATGAAACCTCAGTTTTTCTTCTTGGTTTTTTTTTTAACCTAATCATGTATGACACCTGTTATTGATAAACCTGTTTCTCATCTGTAGAATGGAAATACAAACAGTACTATTAACATTTACTAGCCACTTGCTATTTGCCACATACTGTGTTAAACAGCACAGCAGGCAGTTCTTGGGACAAATGCATGAGTTGGGTACTTGCTCTACTTTACAAATATGGTAAAAGAAGTACAGTATAATGTAATATATTCCACAACATACAATAAAGGGCAGAATAAAGATCTGACCCCAAGCAGTATTACTTCAGAAACAGCTGTGCATTTAACTCCTACTCACATAGTCTCCTTACTGCCTTAGCAATAAAGCTTCCAGGGAAGTACAGTGGGATGTTGTGCTAAAACTCAGAAGCATTATCTTAAAAGTGAATTTATTCTCCCTTTTACCTTGTCCTTCCTCTGGTGGAAATATCAATAAACAAAAGAAAGGTGGACAAACAGGAAGAAGTCAGTTGGTTTCTTTAGTAGACAGTGCTACCACAAAATAACCTGCTGCTTCAGAAGGCTGTTTATCTTTTCTCTTGGAATACTTCATCAAAAACAGTTTGCTCTTCTTGGGTCTCAACAATAAAATTCTAATGAACACTGAAGTGTCTACCAGCAGTCAGGAATGTAAACTAAAAATGAAATTCTAAGCTCCCCAACCATCTGAATGGAACCCTCCTCTCAACCAACGGCTTTCTAAAGTTAACCTGAAAAACTAATTCTGGCCATGATGGGAAGAGGGAGTTGGACAAGTCTCATCATACCTTCCTCCCTTTGGAATTCAGGAACTGACCAGCATTAACATTAAAACAGAATTTGAGAAGGCTTTTTGCAGCAATAAGACACCAAATTCCAGCCTTACTCTAGTATGGCATCATATGACAGCAGGATCTGAAAGAAATACATGCATTTTACTCTAAAATATATATCTGTTACATATTTTGAATTGGCCCTGCAAAGCTGTCTCTTCTGGGGAAAAATCTACACTCTGTAGAGAATCCCCTTCCCTGTCCAGGTCTTTTTCCTAATCCAGGAAAATTAACTAGGAGTCTGGGACCTAATTAAGTCTGATAAGAAATATATATAATCTATTCTCTCTGAAGCCTGCTACCTGGAAGCATCATCTGTCTAATAAGAACCTTGATCTCTACAACCCCTTTATCTTAACCCAGACACTCCCTTGTATTAATTCCAGGTCTTAAGATAAACTCTTTCAACGAATTGCCAATTGGAAAACCTCCTATAACTTGGGACCCCCCAACCCTCCTTGGGTTGTTCTGCCTTTCCAGATCGAAACAATGTACATCGCACATGTATTGATGTCTTATGTCTCCCTAAAATGTATAAAACCAAGTTGTAGCCTGATCACCTGGCCACATGTCATCAGGACCTCCTGAGGCTGTCACAGGCATATCCTCAACCTTGGCAAAATAAACTTCTCAACTGATTGAGACCTGTCTCAGATAATTTTTTGGTTTACAGGAATTAGAGCAAATCACAGAACTGAACTACCCATGAGTTTGTGAAAGCAAAAACAAATTTTAGGACCCCCAAATCACTAAGCCAAAGAGAAAAGTCAAGCTGGGAACTGTATCAGACTGCCTCTCATTTTATTCCTAAATAAAATTAGCTACAAAGATTTTTTAAAAAGCTGCTTACCAACCGGCACGGTGGCTCACACCTGTAATCCTAGCACTTTGGGAGGCTGAGGTAGGTGGATCATCTGAGGTCAGGAGTTCAAGACCAGTCTGACCATCATAGAGAAACCCCATCTTTAAAAAAAAAAAAAAAAAGCTACTTACCTCCCTGACCACTAAGATCTTTTCCCTAAAACAATTCTGTTGGATTTCACTCTGGCAATGTAAATTGACAGCTTATCTTCACAGATATAGGACAACATGCAGAACTCAAAGTCACCCCTCTACCCATCTCAGACAAATGGGTATCTGACTGCTTCCCATGTCCAAATGTGTAAGTAAAATCACAGATTCACTTGGTGGACTTAGGCATAAGTGACTATTCCTCCACCCCTCGCTCACATGTAAATTGTGTGTTAAGCGCAAGGCTGATCAAAGACTCAAAAGAATGCAACCATTCGTCTCTTATCTATGACCTGGAAGCCCCCCCCCCACCCTTCCAGTTGTCCTGCCTTTCTGGAGGGAACCAAGGTACACCTTACACATTGACTAACATCTCAGGTCTCCCTAAAATGTATTAAACCAAGCTGTGCCCCAACCTCCCTGGGCACGTCATCAGGACCTACTGAGGCTATTCTGTCATGGGAACATCCGTCCTTGGCAAAATAAACTTTCTAAATTGATTGAGACCTGTCTCAGATACTTCTGGTTCACAAATAATTTAAACAGTATCTCTCACCCTCTGGGGCGGGCTTCGGGGAATCTGGAGAAAATGAGGCCACATAAGTTTGCTGAGCGTGCTAGAAGTTCAGGCCCAGTTCTCAAAGCCTGCCAGTCATGCCAGCCATGATAGGTCACACCGCTCCACTACGGTCTCTTTTTTGACGAGGCCCGGATTCTCGGCATCCCCCTAAACTTCAGAGCCTGCTTTCACGTCCATTTGAGAGCACACCTGGGATCCGCCTCACTGGGTCAGGTTCAGCAAGGAGACGCCGGCGCGCGCACAGAGGCGGCGGCACCGGATCAGAGACCGGCCCGCTCTCCCGCCCCCCCCTCAACGCCGCAGCCCACCACTTCCCCACCGCGGGCGCCAAGAGACCGGGCCGCCACCGACTCCCCCCGCAAATCCGAGCGGTTATTGAGCGAAGACGCAAGGGAAGCGGCGTGCCAGGCCCGCGGGCTCGGGAGTCAGCGCGCCCCGCTGGGTCCCTGCCAGTCACGGCCGGCTGCAGAGCTCTTGGTGCGGCCTGGAGTTAAGAGCCCTCCTCGGGCCTGCGCTCGGCTCGGCCTCGCGGGCCGCCATGAGGCGACGAAGGGGAGGTGCAGGGCGCCGCTCCCGGCTCCTTACCGCTTCACCACGCCGGTCTTGATCTTGATCTGTCTCACGCGAGTATCGGCCATGGTCCCTCGAGCGCCGCAAGGAGGGCCGGAAAACCCGGGTAACTGTGGAACGCGACGCCAACACGGCGGTTATGTGGGCGTGAACGCCGGCCCGGCGCGCATGCGCATGCTCCGCGGCCCGGAGTCCGCGCCACACCCCGTGGGGCCGGGTCCCTGGAGGGTTGTACCCCGCGCCTGCCATCCTCTGCCTGTGCGCCCTTACCCCCTCGTGGAACGTGCCCTCCTCTCTCTCGAACAGCCCTCCTTTTTAGTTCGGGGGCAACTTACACTATCCCAGTCTCCACACCCTGGGCGTTTAGGGAAACTGAAGTATCTCTCTGGGACGTTGCTTTGTGGCATTATCTGCTTAATGGACGGAGTGACCTAAAAAATGTATTAAGGGTATTTTCGATGTCATTATCTGGTGTCAAATGGGGCAAAGTGATGCATGCGTAATGAAATAAACTTCCATCATGCACGCAGTCAAGAAAATCCTTGCCCTTTACCTCAAATCCCTGCAAGAAGGTTTGGAGATAATGTGCCTTACCAAGGAAATGACTATAGGACTTCTTCAAATAATCACCTCTAGTGTATCCTAAATATTTAGCTTACAAGAATGTGTGTGGCACACAAAAGCTGGGGCCTCCTGATCAGACAAACCGGCATACATTTGGGATTCCACCCTCTAATAGCTAGACAACACTGATATGTGGGCTGTTTAGCCTCGCTGCTGGAAATAATAATGCCCATTTATAGATTAGGTATAAGGGTTAAAACACCTAACTCATTGTCTGACGCATGGTAGATGCTGAACAACATTTGACTATTTTACAAAATATATAAATATGAGACACAAAAATATATAAAATGAGGCACATCTCCAGTGGGCTCTAGCAGTCAGTCCCTTCCTGAGAGAGTCTCCTGAGGAATACAGGGCAGATTCTCCCTTTTAAAATTTTCTTTTTTTTTTTTTTGAGACAGTCTCACTTTTTCATGCAGTACTTTGATCTTGGCTGACTGCAACCTCTGCCTCCTGGGTTCAAGCAATTCTCCTGTCTCAGCCTCCATAGTTGCTGGGATTGCAGGTGCATGCCACTAGTCCGGGCTAAATTTTTTTTCTTCTTGAGGCAGAGTATCGCTCTGTCGCCCAGGCTTGGCTGAATGCAACCCCCTCCTCACAGGTTCAAGCAGTTTTCCTGCCTCAGCCTCCGGAGCAGCTGGGACTACAGGCACGTGCCACAATGCCCAGCTAGTTTTTTGTATTTTTAGTAAAGATGGGATTTCACCACATTGGCCAGGCTGATGTAGAACTCCTGATCTCAGGCCCGCCTCACCCTCCCAAAGTGCTGGGATTATAGGCACGAGCCACCAAGGCCCCCCCCAACACTGATTTTTAAAATGTCTTGGTACCATTCTTCAAAGACACCCACATGACTGTCCTTTTCCTTCCCTATGTCTGACTTGCTCATTATCACTTTCATGACTGGTACTGGAATCCCCTTCTATCCCGCCAGCCCAAAGCCCTCACTTTAAATCCAGGATCAAAACTGGGCAAAGTCTACCATGACTCACCCAACCTGTTCAATCTTCCCTGGATGCTTTGGAGTCACCCAGTAGCCATCTTTATTTTTAGTATATTTCTTTTTAAAATTATTATTTGGGTTCTTCATTCACAAGGGTTTTGTTGAGCTTCCTAGTTATAAATCCCAGACTATAAAGATCTTTAGAGGCAAGAATCTTGTCTTCCATAAACCTTCCCCAACCTTCTTTACCTGTGTTTTGTACACAACGAGCACAAAATTCAATAAATACTTTTATTCGGCTGGCTGGTATACTGAAATACAATTCCAAGTGACACAGCAGAGCTGTGAAATACTGGAGGGAGGGATGGATAAAACACAACAGCAAACTCACCAAAGCCAAATGACACACACACAAAACAGCAGCTACAAGCCACAAACCAAAAGATGATGCAGCTAGGGCTTTTGCTACCATTAAGGTCTTTCCTTTGATCAGGTAGCAAAAACCCTATAACTTACCACATTTTCCTTTTTGCTTCCCTCAAACTAGGTTTCCCAATACAAATACCTGCTATTTCCCCCAATCCCCAACTCTGCCTTCCTCCTTTTGCTCCCTTTCTCTTTGTTTTCATTGATTTGTATCTGTGCCTTTACTATAAATCAATAATCAATAAATGTCAGCAACCAAAAGACTTCTGTTGCTACTGCTGTTGTGTGTATCCAGGCCCATTCCCAGGCCCGGAGGACACTTTGTGAGTTTATCTGTGTCTGCATGTCCAGTTGACCCTTGAACAACAGTTTTGAATTGTGCAGGCCTGTCAGAGGTGTTTGAACCAGCAAAACTCCATCTTGAATAGGGGCTGGGTAATATGAAGCTGAAATCTGCTGGGCTCTATTCCCAGGAGATTAGGCATTCTTAGTCACAGGATATGATGGGAGGTTGGCAGGACTGGTTTGACAAGATACAGGTTACAAAGACACTGCTGATAAAACAGGATGCCATAAAGAAGCTGGTCAAAACCTACCAAAATCAAGATGGTAACAAAAGTGTCTTCTGGTTGTACTCACTGTTCATTACATGCTAATTATAATATATGAGCATGCTAAAATAAACTCTCACCAGCACTCTGACATTTTACAAATACCATGACAACATCTGGAAGCTACCCTAGATAGTCTAAAAAAGAAAGGAACCGGCAGTCCCAGGAACTCCCTACCCCTTTCCTGGAAAGCTCATGAATAATCCACCCCTTGTTTAGCATTTAATCAAGAAACAACCATAAGTATGCTCAGTCAAGCAGCCCATGCCACTCCTCTGTGCAGTAACCATTCTTTTATTTCTTTACTTTCTTAATAAACTGCCTTTCACTTTGTGGACTTGCCCCAAATTCTTTCTTTGACGAGATATAAGAACCCTCTCCTGGGGTTTGGGTGGGGACACTTTCTGGTAACAGGCCCACTTAGATAAGGAGTTTTTTAATCAATACAGTCAGCCCTCCATATTGGCAGATTTTGCACCCACAACCAGATATGGATGAAAAATACAGTATTCGCAGGATGCAGAAACCCACATATAAGCAAAGCTCACTTTTCTGTGGGTTTCCTAGGGCCAACTGAGGAACTTCAGAATGCACTCAAGCATGAATTTTGACATCCCAAGCCTCTCTGTAACCAATACTTTATAGATACCAAGGGACAACCATAATATATTGTATTCTTGAGGCTATGGGTTAAGATTAAGGAGTTTGGCCCCAGCTTTAAGGATAAGGATCGAAAGGACTTGTTGCAGGTTTCAAGAATTTACTGTAGTGGTTAAGGACATGAACCCTGGGCCCAGACTGCCTGCAGTCAAATCATAGCTCTGCATTTTAAGAACGGTGTAATGTTGGACAAGTTACTTAACTTCACTATGCCTCAGTTTCTTCACCTGTAAAATGTAGATGATGAAAAACTTAAATGAGCTAATAATTGTGAAGTGCTTAGGATAGTGCTGGTATTTATTAAGTCTCACATGAATGTAAACCAAATTAAAATTCTAAACCCCCACCCCACCCCACTGGACTATCTGAAGGGACCCCTCTTCTCAGTCAAGAGCATTCCAAAGTTAACCTGAAAAACTAGTTCAGGCCACGAAGGGAAGGAGGAATCAGACGTGCCTTTTTATACCTTCCTCTCTTTTGGAATTCAAGCATAGCTGACCGTCATTAACAAGAGACCTTAAGACCAACAGAAAAGACTGTGTAAGTCTGATAAGAAATATTTGCAATCTATTCTCTCTGAAGCCTGCTACATGGATGCTTCATCTGAATAAAACCCTGGTGTCCACAACCCCTTATTATAACCCAAGCATTCCTTTCTATTGATTCCAGGTCTTTAGATAATAACCTTTTCAACCACTCGCCAATCAGAAAATCTTTGAATCTGTCTATGGCCTGGATGACCCCCGCCTTTCTAGACCAAACCAATGTACATCTTACTTGTATTGATTGATGTTTTACGTCTCTCTAGAATGCATAAAACCAAGCAGTAGCCTGGCCACCTTAGGCGTATGTTCTCAGGATCTCCTGGGGCTATGTCATGGGCCATTGGTCACTCATATTTGAGTCAGAATAAATTTCTTGAAATATTTTACAGAGTTTGACTCTAATAAATTTCTAGAAATATTTTACAGAGTTTGACTCTTTTTGTTGGCATAAAGTTTGTTAAATAAGTAAGTCATTTGGGAAAGAGGTCCTAAATAAGAAACTAACAGAATGGTAGAATTCACATTCATAAGAATATAAAAACGTATATATGACCATTAATGAGATCATGCTGAACTCATGTCTGATTCATAATTTCTTATAAAAAGGACTCATTTTTGACTTATTCACCACCGTATCCCAACATGTAGCAAAGCTTCACATACAGCAGGTACTCAATAAATATTTCTTGAATTTAAATGCCATTTGAAAAATCCTTTTGTTTTCCATTTAGTAATATGTCACACAGACTTTCCATTGCAGCAAGATCACTACCAAGACAACCTGAATCCCCACCTCCCCACACACACCATCTTCTTCTGGGCTTTGCTCCTTTGGGTCTGGACTCTGAGGAGGCAGGCTGATGGAAGGTCATTTCAGGTCAGTACAGGAGACTACTAACTGTTGGGAGGCCTGCAGAACCTAGGCATAGAGATGCCCTCCAGCATTTGAAATGGAAACCTAGCTAAGCTGCATTTCTCACTGTCTAGCACTCTTTTGTTCTGTTATCCTTAAACCTAATTGAATACTGTTTAAATATTCCAGCCTGGCCTCAGGTGAACTATAGGAATTAGTTTATAAAGGTCTTCACAAGGGATAAGTCTATCCACCTTTGAGATTTGGGGTTGAAGAGATCTGATAGCTTAACAGCACTGAGTGAATCTGACAGAACAAGAGGAAAGTCTAGCATCTCCTCCCTGAGTGATAATTCTTGCATTGCCAATCTTGGAAGGTTGATGTACTACAGTTGACCCTTGAATAGCATAGTAGTTAGAGGTGCCAACTACCTGTGCAGTCAAAAATCACATATAACTTTTGACTCCCGAAAAACCTAGCCTCTAATAGCCTACTGTTGACTGGAAGCCTTACCAATAAAATAAACAGTCAATTAACACATATTTACATATTATATACCGGATATATTGTATTCTCACAATAAAGCAAGCTGGAGAAAA